AAGGAGGATTTTACTTTTATATATACTAGTATTTAATATTAATTATTTTTACCACTAATATATTACAGTAATATGTCCACCAGGACTATGTGGTCTAATGGTACCTGGGTTGGATTTTCATTTGGAAGATTATGAGTTCGAGCCTTAGTGGAGGCGTTATTGGTTCTTTGTGTTTCAGTAGGTTGAGAAAGTATATGAATAGATACTACAATGTAATAGAGCCAGTAAAATAATTACAAGCATGCTGATATCAAGTGTCCAAATCACATTAGGAACATGGTTGTAATTATTTATTTTGGACATACTAATTAATTTAATATATTGGTGGTAAAAGTAATTAATTTTAAATATTTATAAAGTAATATATGAGTAGGAATATAAATATCATGGTGTGACAATGATGATGTCAGCACCACATAACCCAAGTTAACAGTAATATAAGTTAACGGGAATATTAACACCGTTAACTATTATCTTTAATTGCACCACTTTTTAAAGTATAAAGATTAAATTGAACAAAATAAAAGTATAAGAACTAAATTGAACAAAACACTATAGTACAAGGATCTCGTAAGTACTTTGACCTAAATTAGCTGATGAAAGTAGCATAAATAGCAGAGTTACGTTGCAAAATTGCAATAGTACAGCAATAGTATGTGATTGGACAATAGTTATGCTGTGCACCCGAATGTACCATGCGCATGGTGCATACGGTTCAAAACGACGTCGTTTTGATTAAAAACGCGCGTCCCACTTAAAAAAAAAATCAGGTTCGACTCTCAGCAATAGCATTATTGTGGATATATAGTTATGAAATTGTGGATATATAGTTATGAAATTGTGGTTATATAGTTATGAATTTATGGATATTTAGTTCATTCACTGTGGATATTTAGTTCAATCATATATTGTGGATATTTAGTTCATTCATTGTGGATTTTTACTTCATTCATTCATTCATTGTGGATTTTTACTTCATTCATTCATTCATTGTGGATTTTTACTTCATTCATTCACTGTGGATATATAGTTATGAAATTGTGGATATATAGTTATGAAATTGTGGTTATATAGTTATGAATTTATGGATATTTAGTTCATTCATTATGGATATTTAGTTCAATCATATATTGTGGATATTTAGTTCATTCATTGTGGATTTTTACTTCATTCATTCATTCATTGTGGATTTTTACTTCATTCATTCACTGTGGATATATAGTTATGAAATTGTGGATATATAGTTATGAAATTGTGGTTATATAGTTATGAATTTCTGGATATATAAAAATGCTATTGCCGGGAATCGAACCTGATTTCTTCTTTAAGTGGGACGCGCGTTTTTTTAACCAAAACGGCGCCATTTTGCAACCGTATGCAGCTTGCAAGGTGCATTCGGTTGCACAGCATAATTTGCGGTGATTGGAATATATGGCTCCATGAGAAAGGGAAGGCAGCCCAATTGCCCAAATAGCCCAACGCATGCCCAGTTACAACATGCATGCAAAGCTTAACTCAAGTAGGGACCAGGGAGGTACTCCCAACTGCCAAGTGCCATTTAGAGCTAGGGACGGATTCAGAAATTCGATTGAAGGGGAGCAAAAAAGTAGTACAGATTTAAAAAAAAAAATTAATAAAGTGAAACATTAAAACAAAAGGGATAATTTAAAAAAAAAAATAAATTTACCTAAGAATTTTTTTATAACCATTACCTACGAAATATAGTTGTAAATATTGTTGGATATGTGCGAAAAATAAAACACATCGAAACTTTATAAAAATATTCATAACAAAATATGAAACATAATTAATTTGATAAAATAATTTGAATAGAAAACACATTATAAATTACACATCTCACTATTAATATAAAAGAATGTTATATATATAAAATATGCTTTTACGGCAGTGTTAAACAACACGGCACAGATATTATTTTCTACTCCACCTACTTACAAACTTGCCAAATCAACCAGAAGCATAAAGCCTTCGACATTGCTGTTCTTCACATCACCTTCGGGTTTTCTGCTTTTGATAAAAAGCACAACAATAATATGTACCATTATGTGCTCAATAAAGAGTTGATAATGAATTTATTTATTATCTTAGTCAATATTGATGATATAAGCATCAATGAAATATTTAAAGAGCTTGACGATATCAGTTCATGTCTAAAGACGGAGATTTTGAAACAAAAGTTTGGGAAAGCTAAGTATTATCTCGACTTGAAGATTGAGTTTTTCCTTGAAGAATTTTTATACACCAGTAAGCCAATATATAATGGGCTACTTGGGTACTGACTATTATTTTTATATCCCCATAATGCCAAGTTCCAAAACTGGTTGTACTATATTTACCATCATTGTCCTATAAAGGGACAATAAAGATTCTATTGCACAAATGATAAAAGAATATATAATGAAATCCTTTTGACTACATTATGATGTCAATATTATACCCACGTGAGCTCCAGAAGAGTCACGAGATTATTACAGAGTATATTCATTCCATTGACAGTTGTACATATTTATTTACAAAATTCATCTATACAGTTTAGAAATTTAATGTATTGACTTAAAGATTGTTATCTTGAGGGGGGAGTATCGTTTTACATGAATCAATCCTCAAGATTGGATCTTGACAACTAATGATTGTACTCTTTTCCTTAGCTAAGCATTTTCCCTCTGGGTTTCTTTAGCTTAAGGTTTTTAATGAGACAGCTAATCTAAAACAAGAATACACATACATCATGCACTCTTTTCCTCAATTAGGTTTTTCCCACGTGGTTTTTCTAATGGGGTTTTTAACGAGGCATGAGTATGATATAGTAATGTAAATGGGGAAAAGTTGCAAAATAATTGCTTAAGTAGACAAACCCCAAAATCCTGAAGATTATGCCGATTGTGCCCTGAAAGCTTATGGTTGTACTCTTTTTCCCTTAACTAAGTTTTTCCCACAGGGTTTTCTTAAGTTAAGGTTTTTAATGAGGCAATCCGTATAATATATGATTTTACAAATATCATGTACTCTTTTCTTCAACTTGATTTTTTCTCACCAAGACTATGTGGTCTAATGGTACTCGGGTGGGACTTCCATTTGGAAGGTTGTGAGTTTGAGTCTCAGTGGAGGTGTTATTGGTTCTTTGTGTTTCATGGTTCTTTGTGTTTCAGTAGGTTGAGAAAGTATATGAACAGATACTACATTGTAATAGAGCCAGTAGCATTAAAAAAAAATTGATTTTTTCCCACGTAGTTTTTAACGAGGCATGAATACAACATTTTTTATATTCCTTTTGTCTAGGTTTTTCTCACATGGTTTTCCTAGCAAGTTTTATGAGGCAGGGTCATGTCAAATAATGTCCAAGGGGGAATGTTATAAATATTATTGTGGACATTATTATCCATGTTGTAACAGTTGTAACATTTAGTATATATTTACTCTTACCTTGTATATATATATCTTACCATAAGAATGGCTAAGGATGAATAAGAAGATCATCCTCCACTCTCTATTCTCTGTGTCTTCCTTCTTCTCCTTACTTGCGTTTTCTTTATTTAACAAATAATTTTTAGTCGATTTAATCCAAATGTATGAATTCACCACTACTACACAGCAGACCTTTAACGTCGGATAAATAGCACCTTTAACGTCGGCTAAATACCGACGTTGTTTTGGGCGACATTGTATATATTATATATAACGTTAGCTATTTAAATAGCCAACGTTATATATATATTTTTAATTTAATTAATAAATATCTACAACGTCGGCTAATACGAAATAGTCGACGTTGTAACGTTTTTTTTTTAATAAATAATATACAACGTCGGCTAATTGGTATTAGCCGACGTTGTAACATTTTTAATTTATTTTTAAATACCAATTAGCCGACGTTGTAACATTTTTTTTTATAAATATATTACAACGTCGGATCTTTCTAATTAGCCGACGTTGTTAACTGTATATATTTTTTTAAATATATATACAACGTCGGCTAATACTAATTAGCCGACGTTGTATGTTTTTTTAATATACAGTTTATTTGTCCATTTATACTCAAAAAATTGCTCAAATTACTCACAACCACATCCAAAACCTGCTCAATTATTGCACCACAACCACAGCAAAATATGTAGAATCTAATATTTATAATCAAACAAGTAATAAAAGTAATAAATCTCACAATTTGATACTAATTAATAATACAAGTTAACATTATCAAAACCTAATATCAATTTGTTCAATTTACATACTTAACCATACATCAACAAAGAAGTCGGCCCATATGTCTCTTATCAATTTCTTGTTGAGTGTAGCTCGATCCACCAACTCTCTCAACAATCTACAAAGTTGATAATTATTAAATAATTAGTAAGCTAGCATTTTTAAAATTAGAAAGAGAAAGATATTATATTAAATTACATGCCTTATCCATTCACACACATGCTTCTTTGGAAAGAATTTCAAGAATGTATTTCATCACATAATATCCACATGCCGCACTTCCAACTTGTTGAGCACACTACATTTGAATGAATAAATTTAAATTTTATTTAATAAAAAACAATAAAACATATGTAGTTTTACAAATGTATAAATACTTACCAAAACTTTAGTCAATTTTGGTGAACTAGTTGATCCATTGCTTCTCAACAACTTTGCTGAATTGACACATCTAAAATTATAAGAGATTAGTATACATAAATATTTTATGACATCATGCATACTTTATTAATTAACATATTAATACTTATAAGTTCACATACTTTTCAACAATATCTTTGATGTCATCACGTGGTTGGCCTCCAATTGAATCAAACCAATAGATTTTATTAAGTTGAGGACAAATTGCCATCAACATCCAATAGTCACTACAAATCAATAATGTATTAGTTGTAAGTAAATATAATATATAATAGAAGTGTATTATATATAAGTTATTTTATTTGAAACAATTAAAACCTACTTTAAAATATATGGCGCTAGATAGCATTGTTTCTGTCCATATTGCATGGTGACGTTGATATACCCTGTCCGTTCATCTATAGTATTCGAAACTGGTTGAATGAAATGTGGGTCTAAGAAGCCATAAGTGGTCTTTGATGCCAATTCAAATTTGTCATAAAGACCCCTATTCAAAAATACAATCAATCATATATATTAGTAATATAATAGATGAAATGAAAAATATTATATAAACAAATATAAGTAAAGAACTTAATTATTACCTTATAAAGAACTGCAATATGGAAACATCTAACGTCTCCATCCTTAAGAAACACATAATCTCCAACGGGTCAAGTTGTAAGGGATAGTCAACATCGCCCACAATACCACGCTCCATCTTTATCACAACATTTTCATCAAGTTTGCGAACAATTTTATATACCTTTAGACATCGAGGACTCAAAGAAGTCGGATCAGCTATAGTGAGATCAACAGAAGGTCGTTGCACACCGGAATCATAAGTCATTTTTAACTGTTCAATATAAGTAACAATTAATGTTTTTAAAAAGTAAATTAAACACTATTTTAAAATCCAAAAATTTTGAAAATACATACCTCATCAGCTTGGGTATACAACTCAACCAACTTCTTTGACCAAATTGTTAGGAATAAAGTGTAATGGTTTTGATATGCCAAATATGTATTTGTAGAACCCCCAATTTTATTTCATAGGTCTAGTAGAGTCTTAGACCATGATCGGGAAATTATTTAAGTTGCAAAAGAGAAAAACAGAGCAAGATGCATGAAAATAGAAGAAGAAGATATAAAGCCGAAAATCAAGAATTTGTCTGGAGAAAATGACAAATTGAAGAAGAAGATGAATAACATGAAATTCACGTCGCTACTACTCGATAAGATATCCCAGAAGAATTTTCGTGAAAGAAAATTAAGATTGGAAGATTGCATGAATTTGACTTGGAGATCAAGCATCTACGGAAAGAAAGGAGTACATCAAAGATGATTGGATATTTAACCAATAAGCTGTATGGACGAAGTGGAAGATGCTTGATTTATTATGTGAAATAGCTCAAGTTCAAGCCAAAATTAATTAAGTTTGATGGAGTTGGGCGCTAGGAGCCAATTCTTTGGGCGTCCAATTGCACTGGGGAGCCAATTCAAAGGAATTGGGATTGCACTTGACGCCCAATTCTTTGGGCGTCCAATTGCACTTGGGAGCCAATTCAAAGGAATTGGGATTTCAGAGCAAGTATGGGATGCAATTTCAAATAAGGAGCTAGTTTCACATGGGAATCAATCAATTCAAGTTGGGAGCCAAAGTAAAATTGAGCCTATGAGAATCAATTCAAGTTGGGAGCCAAAGTAAAATGTAAAATTGAGCCGGGAATCAATTTAAGTTGGGAGCCAAAGTAAAATTGAAATTGGGAGCCAAGTAAAATTGAAATTGGGAGCCAATTCAAGTTGTAGTATGGGATGCAATTTCAAATTGGGAGCTAGTTTCACAAGGGAATCAATTCAAGTTGGGAGCCAAAGAAAAATTGAAATTGGGAGCCAATTCAAGTTGTAGTATGGGATGCAATTTCAAATTGGGGACCAATTAAAAGAAGACGTTGGGGAGCAATTGAATTGAGATGAAATTCAATACCAGGAGAAGTCTGGGAGCCAATTTCGAAGTCAAAGTCAAATAATTCAAATTGGGAAGCAATTGAAGCACCAGGAGTAGATTGGGAGCCAATTAAAGTCAAAGTCAATTGGGTGCCAATTACAATGGAGAAATTTAAATTGGGTGCCAATTACAAGTCAATTGCAATTGGGTGTCAATTACAAAGGAAAAATTCAAATTGGGAGGAAGTTCAAAGCCAGTTTGAAACATCAGAACACCCAGACAAAGAGAAATTCAAATTGGGTGCCAATTACAAGTCAATTGCAATTGAGTGTCAATTACAAAGGATAAATTCAAATTGGGAGGAAGTTCAAAGCCAGTTTGAAACATCAGAACACCCAGACGAAGAAGATGAGAAAACTTACAGTGAAGAATTTCTCACAAAGAAAAATACTAGTCTAACTAGTATGGGATTAAATTGAAGAATATTTTTGAAGTACTTAAATCCCAAGAACCACCTCAGAGCTGATAAGAGAAGCCATTCTACACGAAATTGAGACCCAGATATTCCCGAGAAACGTGAGAAAACCAGAGGAATATCAGATGAAGTTTGGGAACTCATTTGCATGAAGTTGAAGCTCTACCAACGGCTAGCTTATCTCTTCTGACACTTTGCCAGAAGATAAGATAAGATCTCTGACAAAAGATACAAGAATTCAAAAAATGAGATATTTTCTTTCCAACGGACAGATTCTCATTACCAGCTATAAAAGGATGAAGATTGAAGCTGAGGAAAGCAGAAGCAAGACATACGAAATAGAGCATAAGAGAGCAAAGAGCAAAAATCTCATTTGGTACAGAGCATACCAAAAGAAATCTTCAAGTCAGAGAAAAGAAAAAGAACTCAGAGAGCTTCAAAGAGAAATATTCTGAGAGTTCAAAAAGCAGAGCTAAACAGAGCATAAAAATCAAGTGTTTTACTTGATATTTTCAAAGAGAGAAAACACTCAGAGCTATCACGAGAAAATCATCAAGAGTGTTAGAATCTTCATCTACAAGAGACTAAGCGCATCATTGAAGATCAACTACAGAGTCTCGAAGTTGGAAGCAAGACAAAACTTGTTTTGGAGCAAAATAAGAAAAGGGAGGAAAGTAGCACGGAGTTGTGAAATCCTGGATTGTCACACGAGCTGTGAGATCCGAAGCAGCAGTGTCGGAGGCACTGGGCGTGATTAGTGCGGGCTTTGTGATCAAAGCACTAGATCACGGGATACGTTTCTACCGGAGTGTGGAAGACGGGGGGAAAGTAACGCGGAGTCGTGAAATCCTAGGATAGTAGCGCGGAGTCGTGAAATCCTAGGATAGTAGCGCGACAACGTTAAACCCGAAGCAGCAGTGTGGTGTCACTGGGCGTGATTAGTGTGGGCTTGGTGATCAAAACACTAGATCACGGAATTCATTGTATCTTCGAACCAAGAAGTGGTGGATATAGTGAATTGCTCTTGGAGAGAAGAGCAAGTGGAGTAGGAGGATTACACCACCTCCGAACCACTAAAATTGTCTTGTGTTTTTACTGCTTTCTTTACTTACTGCTCTTTACTTGCTTCACACGAGATATAACTCACACAATCTCACACACACACTTTATCTTTGTTTAATTCCGCTGTGCACCATACTCTAACAATCTAGTTAAGAGTTTTGGTTTATCTCTGGCTTAGCAATTGTTGTGTTGTGCGAAAAAGTTTGAAAGTCTATTCACCCCCCCTAGACTTTCACCTTACCTCTTTCGGGACCAATAATTGGTATCAGAGCGGGTTGCCTATTTGGGTCAATTTGTCTTTAACTGATACCAACAATTGGTATCAGAGCCTGTAACCTATTTGAGTCAGCTTGTCTTTCGACAAATATCAACCTTTGGTATTAAAACAAGTTGCCTAATTGGGTCAACTGTTTTTGACTGCTAGGCTGATCCATTCTACAAAGTGTGTGATTGGATTAATCTTTCATATCTCTCGTGATGATGATGAAGAAAGATTTAGCTCAAAATCTATTATTCTCACTTGATAAATTTGATGATTGGAAAGTTCGTATGTAGGTACACTTATCGGCTTTACACGATGAAATGTGGGAAGTTATTTCCACTGGCCCAATAGAAATATTAAAAATCAATACGGCGTTTGTCCTATCCCCGGATGCTCCACAGTACGTACAAAAGCCTAAACCGGAATGGACATCGGATGATAGAACACGAAATAATCTTGACAATATTGCCAAGGATATTCTATTCAAAGCCGTAGATGGTACAATATTTCCGAAGATCCGAAAGTGTGTTACTGCTAAAGAAATATGGGAAACTCTCATCAAGATTGGCGAAGGAGATGAATAAGAGAACGACAACAAGCTCACAATCACTATGAAGAAATTGAATATTTCAAAATGCTCTCAAATGTAAGTATAGCAGATATGGAAGCTAGAATGATCAAAGTTCTTGGAGAGATTAATTATCTTGGCAAAAATATTGGCCAAAAGGAAATTAATCTCAAAATCCTACGAGGCTTACCATCTGCATGGGATATGAAGGTTATGGCTATGCGCGATCACCGAGATTTAAGAATGTTGTCTATAGACAAATTATTTAGTGATCTAAAAGCATATGAGTTCGAAATGAAGGCCAAAAATGATGATGTTCATGAAGCTCCAAATTCTGCGCTAATGGCCGAACAACCGTCAACCTCCAGGTCAATAGAAAATAATGTTGATTTTATGACTGACGAACAGTTTGCTCTTTTTGTTAAAAAATTTAGAAGGTTTATGTGAAAAGGAGACAACAAAAATTCTGCTTGTGGAAAATTCGTCTCTCGCATGACACAAGAAGGAAAAGTCGAAGAAAACAAGGATTTATGCTACAATTGCCGCAAACCCGGACATTTTAAAATAAATTGTCCATATCCGATCGTTAGTAAGTATCAAGGCAAAAATGTTGAATCTACGCCGAACAAATCCGAAAGCAAAAGGTTCAAGCGCGACAAAAGAAAAGCTCTCGTTAGCAACAAACCAAACGAAAATGATGATTCGGAGGATTCATCATCAAGCGATGAAAGCTCGTGTTCGGATGATGATACAGCTCTAATATGCAAGTTAATTGAGTTGAGTACAAGTGAAGATTGTCTTATGGCTCTTGAAGCAGAGGAAGAAGAGGTAACATCTAATTCTTTCAATGCTATTAATTCTTCTTTTTCTCGTGAATCGATTGACAATCTAATGCGAGAATGTCAAGAGATTATGCTCACTCATCCTCAACTCAAGGAGCGCAATAATATTCTAATTCTTGAAAAAGAAGAAATGAATAAAAAATTGCAAGATGCTTTACTTGAAGTGAGTAAATTGAAGAATGAAAATATTCATCCTCAAGAAGAGTGTAAAGCAAGAGAGGTTAGAGAACATAACCTTCGGGCAACCATTGCTACGTTCACTAACTCGTCCAAAATAATGGATAAGATGGTGAGTATGCAAAAGCCATCAGGAGATAGAACCGGAATCGGTTATGACTCCACATGTTCTCAAACCCCTCCAAATCTGACTAATTCTATTGCAACTTTAAATAATAAAGTTCAAGTGGTAAAATTTGTTAAAGGTCAGAATAGCACGATGAGACAAGGACTTGGCTATCAAACAAAAGCAAAGTTGAATGTTGAAAGGCCGAAACAAATCTACACTACGGCAAAGCAACAAAAATTCTACAAGCAAAGATATGCCAAAGAGTCAAGTGCAAAAAGTTTTCTTAGAAAAGAGGGAAGCTTTCCTAGAAATAAAGTTGGGAAATTTATCCCACTCAAAAGGATTGGTTGTGTAATAGATGTAATGCTTTTTATAGACCAAAGCAACAATCCTCTTCCTAGGTGCCAAAATATAAAAATGTTTTTCAAAATCCGGTGCCAAAAATGTTTTCTAATGTGAGTTATGATTATCGAATCTCAAACGGTTACAAACCTCCTCATCTTAATT